AGGCCATAGCAGAGAGCCGGATCTGAAGTGGAACAGCTGGGACTCGAACTGGTGCCCATATGGGATGCCAGCACTGCGGGTGGCAGCTTTACCCAAAATGCCACAGTGCTGGCTCCACTATTCTGATATTTTTTAATTGCTTTTAAATTCATTTTCCCATTAGCCCATCAGTGAATGGTAATACACAAACACCTTAAACCCTTTGTTCCTCTACTTTCTGTTCTAGATCATCTTGATTTTTTTCCTTCCTTTGGGGTTGAGGAACACATATGATTGGGCAAAGAGGTGAGAGAGGTCATTCCTTCCTCCCCTGCACCACCATCACCACTACTGCATCATTTATATATTTACACCCTCATTCCAGATGTGGATATTTCTTGCCATAATTCTTTCAGCTAATTTGGAGTTCATTTAGGGGGATAACTCTTCTTTTGGAAAATAACACAGTAAAACAGAAATAACATGGGCCTTGGAGTTAGACAAACCAGCAGTCCTCAGTCCCGCCAGCTTGCAAGTTATGCCTCATTAGGCTTGTCACTCATTGTCCTCAAGCCTGTCTGTAAAGCAAGAGTAACCATACCTCCCTCACTGCATCATTGTCAGCAGTAAGTTCGTGTGACAGTGTCAACCCCAGGGCCAGGTACACACAAGGTAGATGGTTGTAAATATTTCTTCTGCCTTTGACTAGTGTTGTGCTGTAGTAGGCAAAGCTATCACCTGTGATGCCAGCATCCCATATCGGTGCTTGTGTGAGTTCTGGATGCTCCACTTCTGATCCAGCTCCTTGATAATATGCCTGGGAAAGCAGCAGAGGATGGCTCAATTGCTGGGGCCCCTGCACCCTCATGGGAGACCCAGAAGAAGCTCCTAGCTCCTGGCTTTGGTCTAGCCCAGCCCTGGCTGTTGCAGCCATTTGGAGAGTAAACAAGCAGATGGACCATTTCTCTCTCTGTCTCTGTCTCTCCCTCTCTTTAAACACTGCCTTTCAAATAAAGAAATCTTTAAAAAAAAATTATATTCCTTCCCCCTTACTGTTCCCCACACATGCATGGTTCAGTGCTGTGCATACAGAAGGTACCTGTAAATCCAGCAAATGATTGTTGTAGGAGTGAAAGTGGTGAGGGGGGAGTAAGAGTGAGTGAAAGTACACTTGAGCGAAACATCCGTTGCTTGGGGCCACAGCGATGCATCCTAAACCTTACCTCTAGTCTCCCAAATGTTCCCAAAGTCTGAATTTCTAAGTCTCTGTTTTGTAGCTCTTTAATCCAGTAATCAAACTGAAAAAGTGGGAATTGAAGTTTTCAGTTGAGGAAGGTTAGTTTCTCAGGAGACCTTTTCCCAAGACAAAGTGACCTGCACACAGTAGGTTCAACCTAGCATTAGTATCCTGAGCAATTCAAGTAACCCAAACCTTCAGTCACCCTGGATGGGCTGCGTGAGACCTCAGCCATCTGGAGTAGTGACCAGACAGAATTGCTACCAGCTGTGTTTTGCGCATTTTTAAAAAATAGTAAAGGTTGGGGCTGGCGCTGTGGCTCACTTGGTTAATCCTCAGCTTGCATCGTTAGCAACCCATATGGGTGCTGGGTTCTAATCCCGGCTGCTCCTCTTCCAGTCCAGCTCTCTGCTGTGGGCCTGGAGGGCAATGGAGGATGGCCCAAGTGCTTGGGTCCCTGCACCCACATGGGAGACCAGGAAGAAGCATCTGGCTCCTGGCTTTGGATTGGCGCAGCGCCGGCCTTGGTGGCCATTTGGGGAGTGAACCAACGGAAGGAAGACCTTTCTCTCTGTCTCTCTCACTGTCTATAACTCTACCTGGCAAATAAATTTGAAAAAAAATAGTAAAGGCAATGCCAATTCTGATTGTTTTCTAGTACTTGAAATCATGAATTCACTTGACTTGTGCTAATACTTCTTTTAACTTGACCAGTGGAGTCATCATTGGCTAAGGTATTAAAGCAAATCACTTCTTTTCCAATATACTCCTAACATGGATATGCACTGACTTGGCCAGTGGTTTCAAGAGGAATTAGATGATGTACAGACTCACCAGCAAGAACTGGAGGAAGTCCCAGGTTTCTCCTGCCCTCTTGCCTCAGAGTTACTTTGTAACCAGTGACAGAGCCCTTCACCACCTCTGTTTATGGGCCTCCTCTATGAATGGAGACATACAGTGTTTTGGTAATTGTTTATAAGCTCTTCTCAGATTTGAAATGCATGATGCTTCCAACTTGGAACACAATGCTGATTACCATGGAGGAGCTTCTTGTTGATTGGAAGTGGAGGCGTCAAGCCTGCCTAGCTCTCTCTGTGTACCCAGTGTGTTCTGCCGCAAGGCTCGTTGCAGCTCTGGGAGAAGCTGAAGTGCAGACTTCACAGGCCCGTCAGTTCTGGCCTCATCCTGTGAGCTCATTTAACGTCACCTAGGGTGCTCATTATTTGGATAGGTCAAAGCTACAAAATCAGATGGAAAAAGAGGCATCTTTAGTAAGATAAAAGATAATGTGGAAAACATGACACATAACCAAAGCATTGGAATATAAAGTTCATATTAGACCTGTCTACTGTTCTTCCGTTGTTTGCTTCGGTTTTTTTCCCCCAGTGAAAAATTAGGGACCTTTTCCTGTCTGGTTGTAAACCCTTGCTTAAGACTCTTCATGTCTCTGGACCTTGGTCTTCCTATCATTTAGCAGCAAAGAGACCTGTTCCCACTTTGCTGTGGTCACAGTGTGTTTACGCACACTGAACACTTATAGAATATGAGTACCTGCTGATTTGAAAAAACACTGGGACAAAACATAGTGTTGTTTGAGCTTCCCAGGGCTGGGGACTCTTCCATATACAATAGGATTCTTTTAAACAACTTCACTCTGTCTTGAATTTCTCCTTTCCCCAGGAGCTCTATAAAAACAGTGTTTCCTTGCCAGAGAAACCGGCTTCAGAACCACCAAGCTCCCTCTGTGAACGTATTGTACGGTCTGTGCTTGCAGGATCTCTGTGGCAGACAGTGAAGCTCCAGTCTGAAAGCTGACTCAGCAGAACTGCAGCATATGCCTGCTTTTCTTAAGATCACAGCGCCTATTCCCTGTGGGCTTACTGGCAGACCGGGAGATGGTGCTGTCCCATTCTTCCGTAGACACCCATGAAGGGCGGGCACCAACCCATTGCTTCTTCCTGCTTTCTAGGGCCCATTCTGCAGTCAGTTTACTGCAGATGTTTCCAGAACACACACCCTAATTCTGCTCATTCATGGCCTAGGCACAGACCTCTTTCCTGCCCTGCTCCCCTTCTCACCCAATCAGCCCCTAGTGTTTGTCAGAGATCCTTTCTCCTTTCCCTCTAATGAAATCTTGTCACGGTCCTGAAGGTTTTAAGAGTGTTAATATTCTACAGGCACACCTTTTAAAATGTTTTATTGTGGGAAATTTCAAATACACTCATGAGTAAAGATAACAGTGCAATAAACCCTGTGTACCCAGCACCCAGCTTCACTAATTTACACCCCTGTTCACTCCTCCAACCTCAGATGACTTTGAAGCAAAGCTCACATGTCTTCTCATTTCTAGTTTCCTTTTTAAAGAATTCCAAACTCTTACCAATTACTTGAGAGAAAGGTGTAAGTTAATTTTCTTCCAGGGTTTGTTTCACTAGCCCAGCTGCCTCTCCAGTCTTCCACACTGTGTCCACTTGGAGTGGATGTCCTCTCCGCTGTTCTCCCACACTACTAATAGAACACTTGGCAGAAGAATGGATCCCTGGGGTCGGTGTGCAGCACAGGGGTTAAGTCGCGGCTTGAGTGCCTGCATTCTAATCAGAGTGCCTGCTTCGAGTCTGGGCTACTCCACTTCTGATCAGCTTCCTGCTGATGAGCAGGTGATGGCTCAAGTACTTGGGTCCCTTCCACCCATGTGGAAGACCTGTACTGAGTTCCAGACTCCTGGTTCTGGAGCACCCTGGCTATTATGCACACTTGGGGACTGTACCAGTAGATAGATCTCCCTCTGTCAGTCTTTCTGTCTTTCAAATAAAATGAAACAGAAGGATAAACAAAAGCAAGATTCCTATTCATGTGGCAGGTAAAGGTCCCTGTACAAGACAGCAACTTAGAAGGAAAGCTGTTCCAAGCATGACAGGGACGAGATAGGAAAGGGAAAGTTTTCTGAGTTCTACTCCACCATCAAGGACCGGTGGGCATTCTTGTTACTATTCATGATCAGCCAGTACAGAATTGGTCAGACAAGGCCGGCGCCGTGGCTCACTAGGTAGTTCTCACTAGGTAGTTCTGTTACTCCCCCTTTCACAGTTAGGGAAACTGAAACCCAGAGAGGTTGTCCAAGATCTGTTAACTTGCATGTGGCAGAGCCAGCATTCAAACTTACCTCTCTGCAGGATTTGCACCACACTATGCATATGGAGTTCTTAATAAGTCATGTTGACAAACATGGCAATGGAGGCAAAATCAGGCAAGTAACTTGCCTAAAAGAAGCAATAAGAGGTCGGCGCTGCGGCTCAATAGGCTAATCCTCCACCTGCGGCGCTGGCACACTGGGTTCTAGTCCCGGTTGGGGCACTGGATTCTGTCCCGGTTGCTCCTTTTCCAGTCCAGCTCTCTGCTGTGGCCCGGGAGTGCAGTGGAGGATGGCCCAAGTGCTTGGGCCCTGCACCCGCATGGGAGACCAGGAGAAGCTCCTGGCTCCTGGCTTCAAATCAGCGCCTTGCGCTGGCTGCAGCACACCGGCCGCAGCGGCCATTGAGGGGTGAACCAACGGAAAAGGAAGACCTTTCTCTCTGTCTCTCTCTCACTGTCTAACTCTGCCTGTCAAAAAAAAAAAAAAAAAAAAAAAAAAAAAAATTGGTCAGACAAATTCCCCAGGATAGAAGGAGCCAGTTCCCGTGGTACCAAGCTGTGAACTCATTTCTGCTCCACCCTGCCCCTGCCCTGGCTACAGGTGACACTGCTCTGCAAAGGATCTCAAGCCTCACCCTCTCCTCTATTTCAGATGCAGTGGCAGAACGTGGAGCACGTTGGTGACCAGAGCCCCTATGTCACCTCTGTCATTCTTCACATTAAGCAGAATGTCCCTATCATCCGCGACAACCTGGCTTCCACGCGGAAATACTTCACTCAGTTCTGCATTAAATTTGCAAAGTAAGTCCCAGAGCATTTTCAGCACTGGGTTGGGTTTGTTTTAAAAGCAGTTTTATTTTCACAGCACAGTTGAGCAGAAGGCACAGAGATTCCTCACATACCTTCTGCTGCCACACATGCGTAGCCTCTCCTCTGTCATCAGCACGCCCACCGCAGTGGTACATTGGCTGCATTTGATAAGCCTACACTGACACACCATCGTTGCCCCAAAGTCCATGGTTTACGTTGGGTTTCACTCTTGCTGTTGTCCATTCTGTGGATTTGGAAAAATGTATAATGGTCTATATTTACCCTTTCTACACAATGCCAGATGGGTATTTTAATGCCATCCACACTACCCAGTATGCTCACAATGCAACTGATCTCATTCTAGTGACTACAGGCAAACTAATTTTAATTTGTACCCAAAAGAAGCATAATAAGAAAGCTAAATGTGCTACTTAAAGTCATAGAGTGATAGCAATACAATCATCAGCCACATCAAGACAAAGAAAAATGAGTTGAGGGAATCTTATTATTCTGAATTATATGGCCATCACCACCCCTTGCCCAGGTTGGCATCATTAAAATTCTTTTCCAGTGATTTATTGTATGCACATTGCTTATGGCTAGAGTGTAAGCTTTTTAATGGTAGGGACTGTCATTTCTGTTTCTTTTGAGCCTTCTCTTCCTCCCAATAGTACTTGTTACTGTGACCGCCAAAATGAATCCATCTGTGAATGTCCCTGGGTCCTGGGCAGGTACTAGAAATGGAGAAGAGCAAGTCATGGAACTCTGTTGCCAAGGTAGATGGAGTAAATACAGAGCTGCATGTCTTGCGGCCATGGCCTCGTGTGTGGCCGTTTCTGCCTTGAGTTTTGAAGCCAGGAAATGGTTTGGTCCTTCGCCAATCAGCATCTGGCTGTAGCACCATTTCCCGTGAGACCAAGCAGTGTAGCGGGTCGGTGTCTCCTCTGCTCAATTATCAAACAAGCATTTTGGCTGACTACTGAGGAGAGGGCTTGGGGAAGGTCAGCCCAGCCCAGGCTACTGTGTTAGGGTTCTCACATGATGATTCAGGGCTCCAAGTTCCTGTCTTCCCTGAATCTCTCCCAGTTTATATTCAAGTAGGGCTTTCCCTCTCTCGCACACAGATAAATCCCTTAGGAACAACAATAATTGAGTGGCTTGTAGCGTTAGCTTTAGTTTCTGGTTTGTCAAGAAAGGATAGCGTATGCTCTCCGGGGAGGCATTAATGTTTGCAGTGTGGCAGATGGACTAGGAGCTGACATTCTCTTCACTCTCTGGGTGCTCATTAGTGTGTGTTAAAAGCCTTCTTGATAAATCACATTGTGACACTCCCCATAATGCTGGTAGAAGCAGTGTCTCTATAAAGATTTACTGTGACTGAAAACCTCCACTGTGGCTGCCCAGGGGTCTGATTGAACTTACAGCAAAGTGAATAAGGAGTCCATTGCTTAGCTCATCCCAGCATCAGCCTCATATTCCCTCTGAGCCCCGTAAATATTTTACTGTTAGTGACTGACTGGGGGTAGGATACCCATCTCTCACATCTTGGAAAGTTCAACCATAATCTACAAAGTACTTGTGTTTTGATCCATAGTACTTTCACATCCTGGTAAAATCCTAGTCTAAGACTGGAAACCTTAGGGGTGGCGGTTGTAAGGTGACGGTTCCCCAGCCAAAGGTAATTGACACCACCCGATGGCCTGCAGAAGCCCTTCACAGTCATCATATGGTTGGGACTCACTCCGCCAAGACATGTGGCTGGCCCCTCTGTGTCCCATGCCTCGCCTGTAGAGTAGCATGCAGAGCCAGCTCCACGGCTCAACCATAGATGACTCCTGTGTGAAGTAACTTGGGTTACAGCTGTGCCAACAGAACAGTTATTGGTTGAATTTGATCTCACATTGCTTGTTTGGTCCTAGTTGACAGCACTGAAGAATCCCTTCCCAACAGTGGCTTGTTCACACTCCTTTCTGGTCAGCAGGCCGACCCCTAGACCTGACCTCTGGGCTTTCAGCTCCTTTCCCCTAACTTCCTTTCCTGTTCCACCAGTGCACAGCCAGGGATGTTTCCTTTGGCACCATTTGGCGTCTGAAACAATGTCAGCCTTTTGTATAATCAAGGTGACCTACTGATTGGAACTGCGATTAGAACCACAAGCAAATGGCTAAGGCATCAGTTTGGATGCCTGCTTCCCATATCAGAGTACCAGGGTTGGATACTCACATCCTGCTCCTGATTCCAACTTCCTGGTAATGCAGACCCTGGGAGGCAATAGGTGATGGCTCAAGTATTTGGGTCCCTGGCAGAGACCTGGATTAAGTTCCTAGCTTCCAGCATCAGCCTGGTCCAACCCCAGTCATCTCAGGCATAGGAGATTGAATCAGTGGATGGACACTCTCTCTTTGTTTCTGTTTCTCTGCCTCTCAAAAACAAAACACACACACACACACACACACACACACACACACATACACAACTTTCCTCATCCACTAAGCTGTTTCTCCTCCATTCAGTAATGGAGATAAGACAAATCTTTCTCTTTTTTAAGATTTATTTTATTTATTTTGAAAGGCAGAGTTACAGAAACAGAGGGAGAGGCCAGTGCCGTGGCTCACTTGGCTAATCCTCCACCTGTGGTGCTGGCACCCTAGGTTCTAGTCCTGATTGGGGCGCCGGATTCTGTCCCGGTTGCTCCTCTTCCAGTCCAGCTCCCTGCTGTGGCCCGGGAAGGCAGTGGAGGATGACCCAAGTGCTTGGGCCCTGCATCTGCGTGGGAGACCAAGAGGAAGAACCTGGCTCCTGGCTTTGGATCAGGGCAGTGCGCTGGCTGTAGTGGCCATTTGGAGGGTGAACCAACAGAAGAAGGACCTTCCTCTCTCTCTCTCTCTCTCTCACTGTCTAACTCTGCCTGTCCAAAAAAAAAAAAAAGGGAAGAAAGAAAGAAACAAACAAACAGAGGGAGAAACAGAGAAAGATCTTCCATCCACTGGTTCACTCCCCAAATGGCTGCAAAATGACCAGGGCTGGGGATGGGCCAGGTCGCAGCCAGGAGCCAGAAGCTTCTTTCTGGTCTCCCACATGGATGCAGGGGCCCAAGCACTTGGGCCGTCCTCACTGCTTTCCCAGAACCATTAGCAGGTTTGGAAGTGTAGCAGCCCAGACTTGAACCAGCACCCATATAAAATGCCAGCATCACAGGCAGCAGCTCTACCCACTCTGCCACACCACCAGCCCCCATAAGACAAATCTCTTAATAGGGGTTAGAAAACTGAAATGAGAAGTCACATGTCAGTTTCCTGATAAAGTGTTGATACCAAGCTGATATCCAAAGAGTGGTATCTGCTACCATAATTAAAACATTTATTAGCATGCATTCCCTCGAGTAACTCCTGTGTCCCAGATACTGAATTAAGTGCTTTGGCTTAATAAACGTAGTCCTCATCTTCATTTGCCTTAACAGTCAAGTGTGCGGTTAGGTTAGCTGTTCAGGTAGGGGCCTGTGGACATTGTATAGAATATGGTGGAGGGAAAGCTTCCTAGAAAAGCCACCCCTGGGCAGAGTCTAAGCCTTAGGAAAGGGTGCTTGGGCAGGGGAAGCAGTGTATGCAAAGGTCCAGAAGCACTCACACCTGCAAAGTCATGGGATATGCAGGCAGATCGGCCAGGTTGAAGTACAGGGTGCCAGGATTCAGCATGAGGCTGAACACAGAGAATCGAGAACCGAGGAAGGTCTTGGCTGCAACCATTGAAGAGCTTTAATCAGAGGAGGAACTTGCTTATATTTGTGTTTGAAATAAGTACTTTTGGCAGCAGTTGGGATAGAAAGTATGTGACTAGGGCCGGCGCCGTGGCTCACTTGGTTAATCCTCCGCCTGCAGCACCGGCATCCCATATAGGCACTGGGTTCTAGTCCCAGTTGCCCCTCTTCCAGTCCAGCTCTCTGCTGTGGCCCGGGAAGGCAATGGAAGATGGCCCAAGTGCTTGGGCTCCTGCACCCGCATGGGAGACCAGGAGGAAGCACTTGGCTCCTGGCTTCAGATTGGCATAGCTCCAGCGGTAGCAGCCATTTGGAGGGTGAACCAACAGAAGGAAGACCTTTCTCTGTTTCTCTCTTGGTCTAAATCTATCTGTCAAAAAATAAAAAAAATAAAAGAAAGAAAGCAAAAATTAAAAAAAAAAAATAAAAGAAAGTATGTAACCAAAGGCAGGGAAACCAGTTAGGCACCTACTGAAAGAGTTCAGGTTCAGGGACTCACTCAATCAGGCCCCTCCCAACCTGACAGGTATCCATCTCCAGGCCCCCCTCCAACTCTTCCCCCACCCCCCACCCCCACCCCCACCCCCCGTTAGGAAATTCCCTAATCTGGTCACCTGTTCAAAATAGTCCAGTGTGACTCATAATGTGACCTTCCTGCGGTGGCAGTAGTGAGCAACACAGCCATCTTCAGCTGTTGTGTGCAGAAGAATCAACAGTCCCTGAATGCCGAAGAGAACAAGCCAGGCTGGGTGCACCAGGCTGGGTGCAGATCCAACTGGATGCCCATGGTGAACCACCACACCTCTCAGTCCCATAAAAGCACCTGTTAACCTTCTGCCCAAGAGCTAGTCCTTCCCAGCATGCCGTCTCTCTTGTATTTGGAGCATAAACGCCAGTAAACCTGGTCTGGGTTGTACATTGGCCTCTTGTCAATTTCTGTTTGCAGTTATGCCAAAGAACCTGAGATTGGTAGCAAAGTAAAAAGTGATAAGGGCAATGCCAGTAGGGATGGTCTGGAAGAGCCGCTAAGAGCATTCAGGGCCAGAGTGGGTGAGTGAATGGATGTTGGAGTTGAAGGTGAGGGGCAGTCTTGGGTAACCCTAGGTTTTAGACTGGGTCACTGAATGGGTCACTGAATGGATGAGAGAGAGCCAGTCCACTGTGCCTGGAGTCCGGAGAGGGGCTAAGTTGGATATGCTGGGTGCTGGTACCCGTTCTGTTAGGGCATCTGACTCATTAGATATTAGAGTGGGTACAAGTGCACAGGAAAAGAAGTAGAGATTGAAGAAGGAGGAGGCTGCAGACTTGGTAGCAGCATTTGAAGAGTGAGGAGAGAGGTACCAGCCAGCCTTCAGCTAAGCCTGCAAATCCTGCTTCACTTCTATCATTCCTTCCTCTGTCGTGGGCCCTCGTGACACCTCCGGGCCGGCCTTGTGTTCTACAACTTCTGTTCCAGATCAGTGCAACCAGCTTTCTTGATTGAGGCCTCTGCAGTGTTTCCCAAAAAACCCTCCCAACATGTTTCAGTTTCACTCACCCTTTCCCCAAAATGAGCACCATCAGCCCAAAGGATCCAGATTACTTGTCGGGACCCAGGACATTTTTCAGGATTCTGTATTTAGTTTCTTGATCTGATGATTATTATTCTTTTTAAGTGTTTTTATTCTATTTTCATTTTATTTGAAAGGCAGAGACCTAGAGATAGAGAGACAGAGAGAGAGATCTTCTCTCTGCCGATTTACTCCCCAAATGTCTGCAATAGCCAGGACCAAAGCCAGGAACCCAGAACTTAATCCAGGTCTTCCACATAGGTGGCAGGAATCCAAATATTTGAACCCTTATATATTACCTGCCAAGGTGCACATTAGCAGGAAGCTAGATCAGGAGTAGAAGAGCTGCAGCCTGAACAAGGCACTCCAGTATGGGATGTGGGTGTCCCAAGCAATGTAACTGCTGTACAAACACCTATCCCTAATTATTTTTTGATCTCTTAGCAGTTATTTTTTGGCTTTGCATTTTTTTAAAAGATTTTATTTATTAATTTGAGAAGCAGAGTTACAGAGAGAGGGAGAGACAGGAAGAGATGTCTTCCATCCGCTAGGACACTCCCCAATTGGCCACAATAGCCGGAGCTGGGCTAATCCAAAGGCAGGAGCTTGTTCCGGGTCTCCCATGTGGGTACAGAGGCCCAAGGACTTGGGCCATCTTCTACTGCTTTCCCAGGCCCTAGCAGAGAGCTGGATCGGAAGTGGAGTAGCTGGGACCCAAACTGGTACCCCTATGGGATACCAGCACTGCAGGCAGCAACTTTTACCTGCTACATCACAGCACTGGCCTTGGCTTTGCGTTTTTGTTTTTTTTTTTTTTTTAAGATTGATTGTGGGGCCAGCATTGTGGCACAGCAGATAAAGCCTCTACCTGCAATGCCAGCATCCCATATGGATGCCAGTTCATATCCTGGCTACTCCACTTCCAATCCAGCTCCCTTCTAAAGGCCCAGGAAAAGCAGCAGAAGATGGCCCAAGTGTTTGGGTCCTTGCCACCCATGTGGGAGACCTGGATGCACCTCTTGGCTTCGACCTGACTCACTCAGCCCTGGCCACTGCAGCCACTTGGGAAGTGAATCAGTGGATGGAAGATCTCTCTCTCTCTCTCTCTCTCTCTCACTCTGTAACTCTGACTTTCAAATAAATAAATAAATCTAAAAAAAAAAAAAAAAGTAGATTGATTTGGAAAACAGAATGACTGAAAGAGAAGGAGACACTGAGAGAGAGATCTTCCATCCCCAAATGGCCACAACAGCTGGGTCTGGGCCAGGCTGAAGCCAGAAGCCAGGAAGGAACCCAAGTACTTGGGCTATCATCTGTTGCATTTCTGGACACATTAACAGGAAGCTGGATGGGAAGCGGAGTAGCCAGGACTTGAAATAGCACTCTGATATTGAATGCTAGCATTGCAAACAACACCTGTGTGCCACAACACCAGCCCCTGTTTTGCATTTAAGACTCCCTGACTGTGCCATTTTATTTTGCTCTTATATCTATTGGATTGTTTCCAGCTACTAATAATGGAAACCCTGATTCAAATTTACTAAAATAGTAGTAAATTTTTTATTTCATTTAACCAGAACCCAGTGGTAGGGCAGATTCAAGAGTGGTGGCTGACTTGGTGGTTCAATGATGTCCTTATACTCAGGTCCTTTCCCTTGGTGCCCTTGGACTGGCTTCATCTTCAGAATGGCAGAATGGCAGCTCTTGATGTTATATCCAAATGTAGCAACGTCCCAGTGAAGAAGACAGAGTCTTGCCCCAGCCTTGCAGTGAAGTCCTTCACTCTGATGTGACTGGGCCAGTTGAAGACCTTGCGTACCTGAACAAAAGCAGGGCTTTGGTTGGAAAGAAAAGGAAGGCAGTGATATGTGCCTTGGTTCTTTGTGTTCTCTTGGAAGGAAGTATAGCTTTAATTAACAAGTGTCTTCAGTTCTTTACTAAAGAGAGAATAAGCCTAATTTGCCCCTTCTTTCTTATCCACAGCTCCTTCATTCCCAAGTTTATCACTCACCTCTTCAAGTGCAAGCCAATTAGCATGGTGGGAGCAGAGCAGGTAAGATGGACTTTGTCAGAATCCAGTGCATGCCCTTCCTGTCCATATGTGCTCTGGAGACATGAATTGGTTGATGTCCCTTGTTTCATATGACCTGGTAACTTCCTCAGTCCACTCCCCCATTTAGTTTTAAATTTTTGGTTTAGCACCTACAAGGTAAGTACCAGGTTTTGTTCTGGATGCAGAGTATCCCACAGTGAACAAGACAGAAAAGGACTCTCCTTCATGACGCTCACGTTCTAGTAGATGAAGATCATCTCAGCTGTGTGCTGAAGGGTGGGAGACCCGCTCACGTGCAGGAGTATCTCCAGGGAGCAGAGGAGGAATGGAGGGGGAGAGGAGGCGGTCAAAGAAAGCACCTGCGAAAGCTGAAGCTCAGGGGGACCAGGAGCAACGTTCCAGGCGGAGGAACAGCGAAGGCTGTGATTACTTCAGATCCCATGGGGGCCAGGGCGGGGACCACTTAAGAGTAGCAAGCAGCGAAAGGGCTTATCTCGTTGGTACTGTTCACCTCTCCCAAGAAGCTGACTCATCCAGCCCCACTCAGTTCACTTGAATTCTGTGCATCAAGACACCTCTCGAGAGCATGCCTGTCACCTCTGGGTGGATGAGCTGAGTTACAGGCCTCCTGCCTGCTGTCACCTGTGACCTGGAACTTGAGCAATCTGAGTTAGAGAACAGTTCAGACTTTACGACAGTCATGTGCAGCCCAAGCACCCACTGAGATGCCAAGTCTTCATGGTGACCGTGAGTGATTCTTGCACATTCATTTAAATGAATCCTCTCTAGACCTCTGTCAATGCTTACAAAGCATGAGAAGGTTCTGTAACCCAAGACATTTCCACAAATCCTGCTCTTCCAGTGAGCGAGCAGACGTGGTTGAAGCTCAGCTCTCCCCTAGCTCCCCTGCCCTCCCCCTGGCCTCTGCTTTCCAGCCAGAGTCATGCCCAGTAAGACGGCAAGTTAGCACATGCCCCAGGGCATCATGGTCTTCATGAAGAGCCATAGCCAGCGTCTGTGAGCAGCATGATCTCTTGAACCTGTGACGTGCAATGTCTTTGTAACCCTCTTTCCATGAGTGGCCTTCCCAGGATCGGGAAAGGAAGTGTGGTGTGAGCATTAAGGCCTGGGCTTTGGGATTATAGGGGTCGAGGCTGAATCCTCTGTCTGCAGCATGGCAACCGTTTGCCTCAGACAAATGGCTTAATCTCCTTGTCTGTAAAGCGGGTGCTCTGAAATCACAGTGCCACCCCACGGAGTAATTGTGAGGATTAAACGAGAAAATGCACAGCGTGCCTGCCATAGTCTGGCATGTGGTAAGCCACAGTAAATGCCAGCTCTTAGTAATTTTAAGCTTCCTGAGACCGGGGACATGACTCTGTTTCTGTTTCCATCACCCATCTGTCTCGCCAGCCAGTGGTAGCCGGAGTCAGAACGTTGTCTCGGAAAGCTTCCTGGGAGGTTGTGAGGGTTCAGACGCCACATGGGCCTGACTGCAGCAGTGCAGCGTCCAGACATTCCTGACCCTTGTCACAGCCGCAGAACTCACTCTCTCTCTCTCTCCTTTGGAAACAGCAGGAACACGCCCTGGCGTGTCTCTCCAGTTTCAGTAGCACACACTTACTGGGCACCCATTCTTTCCACCTCACTGTCGTGTGTGATCCCAAAGGGTGTGGCTGATTACGATCTGGGTCTGTGGGAGAAGTTCTTGAGTTCTCAGTTGCTGTGTTTCTGTCTCCAGACTGGACAAAGCCCCTGCAACACAAAGTTGACTCACTGGGAACATGAGTTTGAGCTTTGCCCAGGCCTTGCTAGCTGATTTAATTGTCTAATAACCAGGATATTTTCATTTTGTGATCTAAATGCACTGTCATATCCATTTTATACAGATTTTCCCTTCTTTAAAAGAACATTAGAATAATCAGCTCAGACCCAAAGCCAGTAGCAACAGAAAATTTTCAGTTTGACCAGTGTTTACTTCTGCTTTTAGGTGTGGATGGGAAAACCATCTGCTGGAACTGGAGTTTTACTTTATCAGACCCCAGGCAAGTAGGAGTGGGGAGCAGCAGGGCGGGGATCTCTGCAGGCACAGCCGGGGAGAGGGCAGAGGTGGACACTGCGGGCCAGCGTGGCCCCGGCAGGACTCTGTGTGAAGCTGAGGTTTAGTTGGGCCCCTGCTTGTGCTGAGTACATCTCTGGGCTCTGAAACCTGAGCAGTCATGTAGCAGGAGGCGTGTCCTCTCAGGCAGCGGAACCATATGAATCCAGAGGTAACAGAGATGTTCATGGAGTGAAGCAGATTCTGCTTTCATTGGTGGAGGCCTGTACGCCAAGCTTTAACCACAGCTGTGAAATTCAAGGCATTAAGATTCAGCCTAATCTCAGATCCATCTGCTTTGCCACAAAAGTGCTAGGTCCTAAATGTAAGTGATACTTAAATACTTACGCTGAAAATGAGAAAGTAGGCATTTCCCTGCTCCTGGTCCTCTTCCTGATTACTCTATAAAGTGAGTTCTTAATCTTTGGCCTCCACTTGAGCAATTGCAAGGGCACATGGAACTGAACCATACCAGAATTTGTAATGCTTCTTGCTGGTTTATGATTTTCATAGAACCTTGTGGGATTTGCAGGGTCATTAATTATCTTATGGCCATAGTTGTCTGTGACTGAGCACACAGTAGAAATGGTATCCATTCACCCAACTTAACAACAGAGAAAGTAGCACAGTATGGTCGGGGGGAAGGAGACGTAGGATCGGGTCCCCACTGCAATTAATGATCCCTGTGATCATAAACAGTGTCTCCCATGGGCCCGGTTTCATCCTGTTTAAATAAGAGCACTGAACCGGACACTCCTAAGAGCCTTCTCCTCACACTTTTAAAATTTATTTATTTGAAAGAGTTACAGAGAGAGAGAGATCTTCCATCCACTGGTTCAGTCCCCAGATGGCCGCAATGATCAAAGCTGGTCCAGGCCAAATCCAGGAGCCAGGAGCTTCCTCCGGGTCTCCCACATGGGTGGCAGGGCCCCACGCACTTGTGCCATCTCCACTGCTTTTCCCAGGCCATTAACAGAGAGCTGGATCACAAATGGAGGAGCCAGGACACAAACCAGCACCCATATCGATGTCGGCATCACAGGCGGCAGCTTTACCTGTTATGCCAAAACACCCAGCTGCAAGAGCCCCTTCTAGATAGATCTGTCACATTGTGTAGTCTGAAATACTCGGAGCACAATACACTTCATGTCTCTCAAGTTTTCTTTTCCTTTGTTCTTATGTATAATGTTGACTTTTTAAAAAACTGTAGTAAAATATTTATAACATGCAATTCACATTTATAGCCGTATTTAAATGTACAGTTCAGTGGCATTGAGCCTGTACACCTTTGCTGTGCAACCGCTTCCTCCAGACTTTTTTCACCTTCCCAGATTGAACCTCTGTACCCATTGGCGGGTGCACCCATCTCTGGCAGCCACAGTCTGCTGGCTGTCTCTGAGGATTTGCCTACCCTAAGTACCTCCTAGTGTTTCTCCTCCTGTGACTGGTTTGTTTCATTTAGTATAATGTCTTTATAGTTTATCCACAATGCAGCATTTCACATACACACCGTATTTTGACCATGTTGACTTTTAGACCCACCTATTTCAAAAATCCCAGATTCTCTGAAAGCCTGTGTTTGGCACAGCATGTTAAACTGCAGCAGTGCCAGCATCCCGGATCAGCAAGCTGGTTTTGAGTCCTGGCTTCTCTGCTGCTATCTCTGTTTCTGATCCAGCTTCCTGTTAATGTGTGTAGAGAGGCAGTGGTTGCTGGCCCGAGTACCTGGGACCCTGCAACCCATGTGGGAGACCTGCGTGGAGTTCCTGGCTCCTAGCTGTGGAAGATCGATCTCACTCTGTCTCTCCCTCTGTCTCTGTCACTCTGCTTTCCCAGTAAATAAATCTTTTTAAAAAACTACACATCTGAACAACAAAAAAAAAATGTTTAAAGCAAATTTTAAACCTCTTTTTTTTTTTTTAAAAGCCCAAACACAGCAGATAGGAGATAATCCTGGCAGTTAGAAAAATGAAAATGTAGGATGGTGATTCTCAGGCATGCTTTTATATAAAATGTCATAAAAGTCTCAGGTTTTTTTTAAGATTTATTTTTATTTATTTGAAAGAGTTACAGAGAGAGGTAAAGACAGAGAGAGAGGTCTTCCATCTGCTGGTTCACTCCCCAAATGGCCTCAACGACCCGGGCGGGGCTGGGCCAGGCTAAAGCCAAAAGCCAGGAGCCTCCTCTGGGTCTCCCACGTGAGTGCAGGGGCCCAAGCACTTGGGCCAGCCTCTGCTGCTTTCAGGCATATCAGCAGGGATCTGTGATAGCAGGGTGTTTTTAACAATATTTTATAAAACGGATTGATAAAATATAACCATTAATGATAAAAAATTTTCTTAAGCCTTAGTAAAAGAAATAGAGAAATTTTGGGGCCATTGTTGTGGCACATCAGGTTAAAGGTGCTACCTACAATGCCAGCATCCCATATGGGCGCTGGTTCGAGTCCCTTGGTTGCTTCACTTCTGATCCAGCTGTCTGCTAATATGCCTGGGAAAGCAGTGTACAATGGCCCAGTCCCAACCTTTGCAGCCATTTGGGGAGTAAACCAGTGGATGAAAAATCTCTCCTCTCTCTTTCTTTCTGTCTCTGCCCCTTACTTCCCTCTCTCTCTCTAACTCCATCCTTCAAGTAAAAGAAATAAATATTTTTTTTAAGAAAAGGGAACTTATTAGATCTGATAAAGGTTATATACAAAAGCTTATTAGAGGACATGAAGTATAAAGGTATATCCATTTGTCAAAACTATTTACCAAAACTAGGCATTTGGCCTAGGGGTAAAAGTGCCAATTAGGACGCCTGCTTTCTGAGTTGGAGTCACTGTCTCCACTCCTGATTGCAGTTTTCTGCTAACGCACATCCTGGAAGGCAGCAGGTGATAGCTCAGTGGTTGGGTTCCTGC